TCGAAATTATCAAGTTCTGAAATTTACGGCTTTTTTATCACTTTTTAAGCCCATACTTCGCCACACATTTAAACATGTTAAATGGATGCTTATGAATATAATTTTTGTGTGATTGTAAATTATTCTTTGTAATAGTCTTGTTATTTTCCTCCTTAAATTATATTGTTAATAAGCAGGGACCGGTTTGTAAATAAAATGTCCTTCTATATTTTAGAGGTTGGTATTTTTTGCATTTATTGACATCATTTATAATTTTTGTTCCTATTTATGGTACATTATTGGTACATTACAAAAATGAATAAAAAGTGCGCCGCTTTTGAACTATTCCTTTCCAATATAAGGAGAGGAATTAAAGTATTCGTTTGGGTCTCGAGCCTATAGCAACTCGTCACTGATGAGTTCCACAAGAACGAAACGCGTCTGTCGATGCTGGCATGAGATCCGAACGAAATTAAACAAAAGCGGTGATAAGAGAAATGCTTGCAGAATATTTAATTAATATATATATCTAGCGAGTTTGTCGCAAAGTTTTAATACTTTTAATACAATAACTATAATAAATTACCTAGCCGGGAGGGCAATACATCTTTCAGGTCATAGATGGCGTAAAGCACGCTATATGTCTCGTACAGATAATGTCATGACATATAGAAGACCGCGTTGAAAAACGATAGATGGCACCATTGTGCAGGCAAATTCTCTTCTCGCCGCCTTTGAACTATTCCTTTCCAATATAAGGAGAGGAATTAAAGTTTTCGTTTGGGTCTCGAGCCTATAGCAACTCGGCACTGATGAGTTCCACAAGAACGAAACGCGTCTGTCGATGCTGGCATGAGATCCGAACGAAATTAAACAAAAGCGGTGATAAGAGAAATGCTTGCAGAATATTTAATAAATTTAAGATAAGTCACCATCTTTGAGTAAAAAATAATTAATTTTCCTTCTCCTATTACGGAATATGGCCATTCTAATATCACTTTTTAATGTGGAATTACATATATTCCTTATTACAAAATTAATTATTTTATCATCGGATAACAGAATAACACATACTTCCACACATATACAAGTCATTTCTAACTGACACTGTTTCCTTTTCGTGGGGTTAAAGTAGGGGAGGTGAGAATCACACGCACTGTTTAAAATATCTGTGGTGTAAAAAGTAATCTTAAAATGGTGTCAAAATCCAACACGAAGCGGTGTTAATATAACACCACGAATTATGGTTGAAAATGTGTACCGATCGCGGCAAAGGCGGTGTGGATCACGTGATGTTCTTAAATCTCGCCTCTGTTGACTTACATGAAGAATATATAAACTTAGGTAATCCTTTGCTTTGGTGTGACACTACAAGTTGTTCGATACTAAAGAGACCTTAAATAGGTGGAAACAGCTGTCAATACTTGAAGTATTTTAAGTTAGTGCAACGCACTAAAAACATTATCTCTAGCGAGTTGAAGGTTCCATTTTCTGGAATAATACCAATGGTAATATACTACGAGTAATGCGTCAAGGAACTTCCTGTTTCCTTTTTTTTCCTTTTTTCTGTGTAGTATGATTTAATTTGTCCACAAACACATAATATTTAACACTGAAAAGGAGTTCAATTAACATCAAGTAAAATTTATTTTAATACTGTGTGAAAGTTAAATTAACACCATTTTAGTATTTGAATTTACACCGGCCAACGAACCTTATTTAACACCATTTTGGTTTGTATGGATATAGACCATGTTTGGTGTTAATTTGGTGTTAAAATGGTCATGAAATTTTGAACAGTGCGGGAGCATGCATTGAGGGGCTGCGTGATGTCGTTTAAAAAAAATACCCTATTTTTGTATAATATATAGATAGTTTTAATAAATTGTATGAAAAAAGCATTTAACAATAATAAACACACAAAATGATAATAGTTTAGATTTTATAATGGCATGTTTATAACAGCAAGGATTTGGCCACGTCGCACTATGTCGTAAACAGAGTGATTAGGTGACCAAAAATATTTTTGTTGAAAAACATATTGAAAATGCTTTTTTGTTATACAAAAAGATCATTTTTAATAAATTTAACCATTAGGATTAAAAGAAACTAAGTACAGGGTGAACCACGTATGCCTATCTCAGAAACAACTGTAGTCATGAAAAATTTGTAGGGAACAAAAATATTTGAATTAATACATATTTTTTAATGTTGTAATTTAATTTATACAGGGTGTTCAATTTTTTCTGGGACGATACCAATTTTATTATTTTCGATTTTTACATCTTTTTATTCTACGTACTTTTTTATGTTTTTAATGGCCTTTTGCAGAGCTAAAAGGGATTCCGCACTTGTACTCCTATCCTGTTAAAGTTTTCTGTTTAGATACCTCATCTGCCATTCTTTTTTCTCAAATCCGTTAGATTGCTAAATTTGGCTATTTGAAATGGATGTTGTTAGCAAGAAAGTTATTTTTATAGCCACTTGGCTATCGTTTCTTAAATATTATTATAGGCTCAGGGGAGCTCTGGCCCTTGTACTGCGACCTTTAGGTCTATTATACCCTGTGTCTCGGGTTTTTAGAATCGAGGGATCTTTTATCCCTATAAGCATGCAGCTGTTTAGGCTCCATTATTATAGGGCCTGTATAATAATAATAATAATAATAATAATAATAATAATAATAATAATAATAATAATAATAATAATAATAATAATAAAAAGTCTGAAAAATCTAAAACTATAAAAAATACAGGGAGTTACATTTAAAATAATTAAGTCGCTTTCGTCCTAGTGTAAAACAAATAACCATGCATTTGTAAATGAAATATTAAAAAAGTGTAAAAGTTTTTTTTAAAATCCGGACAAAATCCGGACTTTATAACATCATCTAAAAAAGTAATAAATGGTATTTTTCACATTATTTACTCAATGATATGATTTGAATAATTTCATTCTAATAAAAAACAAAAGTTTACCTTTATGAGCGATTGAAATTAAAGAGTTGCAAACGCAACAAAATTCTTCACTTGTTGTCTTTCCCTTTTTAAAGGAAGGGTATAACCGAAACATTTCATCAGAATATGTACTCTTGCGTTTAGGCATCACAAAAGACTTCGTAAAATGTAACACTTTAATGAAACGGTTGCTTCTTTTGGTTTCGGTGATTCACAGACAAAAGTTTAAAAAAATGAGCTCTAATACACATTTTTTGACATAAAATCAAGTGTAGCCAAGTTTCTCAACATTTCCCGTCAAAATCCTTAATAACGACCATTATTCATATATTAACAAACACTTCCACACACAAAAAAAATTGGGGCAACCTGGGGCACCATTACTATTTGCAAAAAGTTTGCTTGAATGCACGTTAAAAAAAATGACAAAATTTGGACGGCTATTACTATATATAAAATAAAATATTTTTTTAATTTTTAACGTTATACCTTAAAAGAAATTTATTTTAAAGCAATCTACCAAATATAACTCCTGTTTATTATAATTTATAGGTTTAATCGCATATTTACCAAGCGCGAGTTATTTATATAAAAAAATGTGTTTGTGCATTGTTTTAAAATTTTATACGTCACGGTTCTTATTAATATTTTATAAATAAACAAATGGTTGTACATTGTCAAGAAAGGCATAAGGATCAATTTTATGTATATTTTTTTGCTGTAAGGGCAACTTCAGAAATCGACTTTTGGTCACCTATACAGGTCAAATACGACACAGTGCGTCGCGAATACATATTAGAATGTCTATGATAAAAACCTTTTGGCTATCGTGGTACAAATCAGTGGCGGAACTTCGAAATTTGGCCCCCCATGCAAAATTCAATATGGCCCCCTTCCAACAACCTACTCTCTAAAAATGAAGTAGTCGAAATTCTACTATTTGAATTAGTACCAGCATTTTAAAATAGTTATTTTTTACTACGTAAATAGTTAAAGTTTGACTAACTAAAGATTAGTCACCATCTTTGACAACTTCTGAGAGTTAAAAGTAACTAATTTCCTTAATCGTTATTATTATTAGCGAAAATACATGTAGTCTCCATAGATAAATGGACCATAAAAACAAACAGATGCAAAAAGTTTAGTTCAAAACAGCAATAAAAAAATATATCTAACTTTAAAATATTATTATAGTAATTAGTAATAGTGGTGAAGCGATTAGACATCTTCTGCAGGGAGGTTTTAGAGGGGGGGTTACATATCCACGCGCCTTGTATAGCCACCACCACATTGCGGCCCTTTTACTTTGTCTTCTTTTTATTTTTTATATTTTATATTGAAATAAATTTGATTTGATTTAATTGCTTGACAAGTGAAAGGCCCGAGTTCAAACCCCGGCTGGGTCAAAACTTTTTTAAATTAAATCTAATTTAACTATTAAATTTTCATTCGGTAGAATTTTAATGTAGATTTTGCGGAAGGCAATTAATAATTATTAGTGATTGCTTTTTCGTTATGACAATTGTTCAAATATGTCTTATACTTTTATTTTGACTTATTCATTTTATGAAAGTGGACTTGGGTATTGTAATATGAAAATTTGTATGCACTTAAAAGATAGTAAATATAAACCAGGCAAAGAAAGCTTATATTATAGCCGAGCATACATTTTTCTGTAGATTGTGTGGGCAATTAATAAGCTTTCGCCGCCGTGTTTTATATACTTTTATCTATTTTGCGTTCATAATGGCATCATTATAACACCGCTTTCGGTGATATAATGAGAAACTTTATCCCACCCAAAATTTTGATTTTATTGGTTGGCTATACTTTAAACAGCATAATATTTTGCATATTGGTTATAATATTTTTATGATTTTTCTAGTACTTACGAGACTTTTTTGGCAATAAATTTTGTTTAACACCAAAGAAAATCCTTTTTTTCTTCTTTAACATTAACAGCCGCTTATTTTAAATAAGTAAATTAAGGACGGCATGGCGAATCGATTTTGACATTAACTGTCAAACCAATGACTGTAATATCTAATTTTACAGATTCCTATATCAATAACTTTCCTGGATCCTATCCGAGGCAACCCCTGGGGTTTGTGTTAAGTCGTTTGGCTGTTGCCCCTAAACGTGAAAAGTCATCTCCTCTGTTTGTGTTGTCTAAACTAACATTCTTCACCATAAAATAAAAAAACAAAGAAGAATCCATATACTAGTTGTAACAATATTAACAATATTCTATGAACAATAATACATATCCAATCCAAGGGATGAGCCTACTCAGACGTCCTTAACTGGACCTCTTGGTATATTGGATGGAAAAAAGAAGATATCTATCATGAGCTGGCCAAATAGTTTGTAATTAACTAAAGGCCAAAAACTTAAGAAGAAGAAGAAGACTGTGATACCAACTATCTAAAGTAAAATTCGACCAAATTAAATTAAATTAAATTGTCCGCGTGAGACAAAATTACGTCTTATGACATTAGTTCTTTAATATACTATTTTCTTTGAAGAATTAAATTAGAATATTTCTCTAAGATTTTGTCACATCATTTTTAGGTTAGGTTTAACTAACATTATGATATTTTAGCTTTACTTTTGTACTGAGCTTTATAAAAATTTGACTTTTGATGTTAATGAAAATGCGGTACAAAACATTTTTTGGTGTTCGTCCCCTGGTGTCAAATATATCTGTAACAAATTTCTTCAAAATCGGTTTACCAGTTTAGGCGTAAAAGATGAACAACTTTATAATATGGATAATTGTTATAATATAAACATTATTATACGTTTGAAAAATATATATTTAATTCACAAAAATAATGGATATAAAATCACTTGTTTTTTAAAAGTATCCGGGAAGTGGCGACAGCTTTAAAATGATGTCAAATATTAAGTGTCCCTTCTATTTTATTTGAAAATATCGATTTCTTGTCATCTTTTATTAGAGCGGTTAGTTATCCCTATTAAGGTAGAAGTGACATGTTTCAAAGAAATTTGGAGCATCTGTCCTATTACTAATCTGTCTTTATCTAAAGTTACATCAGCATCGTTAAACCAGTATTTAGTTGATGGGTATCATTTAAATGTTTGTTTTTTATTGAATTAATTTACTTTACAAAATTAATAAGTCTCTATTTCATTGTCCATATACCGTCTGTTTAGTTTATTCTGAATGTTATGTAAACATAGTATTTTATTAATAATTTATATAAAATTTATATTGGTATTATATATTTAAATTATATTCAAATCAAATCAAATCATCTTTATTGTTAACATTTTTTAAATTTCTATAAAATAACATTAGTTGATTCGCCTAAACTTGTGCGCTTGTGTGCGAATCATAGCCTTTTAATAAAACTAATCTTAAAACTAATTATATTAACATTTAAAAACAAAATAATAATAGAATATAAAACAGAGATATACTGGGGAAGCAGGAAAATATAGAGCGACTTAGAGGATGGTAAGTATTCTTTATTATTTCTTTATGGATTAAAATAGTATGATAAAATAAATATTATGGCGCCTTTTGCCATTTTACTCTAATATTTGGTGTTCCATACCAAGCAAATAGTAAAATCCTTTGCCCATTTCTGCGAAAAACGTCTATTTCAAATTTAACTGGTATATTAAATGGAGCTTTTTGTGGTAGTTGCATCCGATCCGGTACAAAATTGTGCAAATAATAATGTCCCTAAAAAATTGTATTAAAAAGAGTTTCAATACAATAGTATTATATAAGTATAGTATAGTATTATTGTAGTATTATATAAATATATTTATATAAATAGCAAATTTTCCAGGGTTAATGCTATCTGCCCAGTTTTATAAATGTATTAATAATTATAATTATAATTAATTCCTGTAGGAATTATTTATTAATCGTTTTTGGGCAGTCAAATGACTGCCTATACAAAGCTAAGCATGCTTACATGTTTTATTTAGCATTTAAGTAAGATTTTCATGAATTATTAATTAATTTTTTTTTTAAATATTTCACATAAGTTTTTTCTACCCCCACATTTGAAAGACCCATTATCGTACATGTTTTCATGACACGAAGTGGCCTTTTAAATACACATTGACAAGTTGTAGCTTTATGGCGTTTTAGTCACAGGCTGTTAGCAACAGGTTTTTATTCACAGGCTGAAGTTACTTTTAAGTTAGTTGACAGTTGTCAAATGTCATATAATACAAAAGTAATAAATAGTTTCTCAACGCCAATATTTGAAAAGTTTATATAAACCTTTTAATTTCGCCGGCAATAAACTAGATTTAACTTAATTTCGGGTGGAGACTCCACCGTGGAGTTCCAATAAAACAGTTTCTTTACTTTCAGTGTGAAAAACTTCTTCTATATCGGATTAAACGGTCCATTTTTAAGGGATACATTTCGATTTAAACATACAAATTTGACATTTGACATATTACAGATTCCCAAGTTAGTTACTCTATTGTTTTATAGATGTCGCTCTATACAAATATTTAATTTAAATCATGTTTAGATAATAATAAGAATTTGTCGTAGAAAAAGTATAGTATGCAACTTGTTTATAAACTTTTCTAGACAGTGTCTAGTAGACACTCATTTAATTAAGGACTTGCTTGCAAGCTCGCTCGTGCCTAAATTAAATTCGTGTCTAAAATGGTGTTTATCAAACATTATACATAATATACTATTTTACGCGCTATAATGTGGTGTATATTTTTTTAATATTAGTTTCATAAAATAGTTATTTGTGGCATAAGGTAGTTTTTTAAAAATATTATATAATATAATTTTACATTGATTTATAAATATTTATAGCCGTGTTGCAAATGAATAAACCAGCCCGCCGCGACGGAAAAGCAGAAACTCAATTGGTTTATGTTTTAAAAGAATATTTGTAAAACTTTCAAAAAAGACGATTATTTAACCCTTAAATGCATGTAGTTACCACTTGGCAACATACTTCTATTTGCATGGATTAAATACACAAAAACGCATGCGGCATGCTGTAGCAAATTTATGATAGAATTTATGATTACAGCGCCACAGTCCAACTATTTAATAAGTTGGGTTATGGTGGTTTGGCGCACTTTCTGTATACAAATTTGTTATTCTAGTTATTTAAATAAAGTCACGTTTTTGAAATTGAAAAATTGTGTTACATAGTCTACTCTCTTAAAATGAAATAGTCAAAATTCTACTATTTCAATTAGTTATTTTTTACTGCTGAAATAGTTTGACTTATTTAAGACACCAACTTCGACTATTTCTAAAAAATAAATAATTTCTTTAATTGTTTTTAATTCTTGCGGCCCACAGCGACTTATTGTTAAAGTTAAATGCATGTAGGATCCATAGGTTAAATGGCCCATAAAAACAAACAAAGATGCAAAAAGTGTAGCTTAAAACAGCAACACAAAAAAGATATTTAAATTTAAAATATTTTTAACAATATGTATTAACAGATATAACTTAATTTAATTAAAGTAGCACCCAGTAGCGATAAGGCGTGCGCTTGACAATCGAAAGACCAGAGTTCAAACCGTGGCTGTATCAAAAAGCTTTTTTAAATTTAAATCTGCCAATTTGACTATTTCATTCGGTAAAATTTGACTAATTATTAGTTACTGCTTTTTCGCTATGACAATAATTGTCATTAGACAAATTGTTATTAGACAAATATGACTTATAATTAGTTATTTTTGACTAATTCACTTTAAGAGAGCGGGCCTTTAATTATATAAAATATAACTAATATTTATTTTCCCAATAAAGCTTAAATTAACAAGTTTATTTTTCCAATGAAAATTTGTTACCTTTTTTATATCACATGCTTCCAAATTCCCAAATTTACCTAAATATGTCCTCACCATAAAAAGATTATTTTTCCATTGCTCACAGACATTATAATCAATATGAATCCCTGTATATTTGTAGGTATTGCTTACGAATACATACATTTTGGAAGTACCCTGTAAGTTACAAAAATTAAGGTTTTATTTCTACATTGACGAGCTGTGACTTTCTGTCGTTTTAGATACGGGCTGAGGTAGCAATAGTGGATTTGGTGCATTTTAGTCACGGGCTGAAGTTGGCTTTATTATAAATTAGGGAAAAGTTAGGTTACATCCAAAGTGGCTTTAAATTCTTCTTTGTGTTCGTCGTAAATAAAGTATGGTATGCAACTCGTTTTATAAACTTCTCCAGACACTTTTTATTAATTTCTCGCTCGCAAGCTTAACTCGTGCCTAATAAAACTTGTAACTAAAATTGCGTTTATAAAACTTGATACATAATAATATTATATTATAATATAAACAATGTGTGAGACACCAATACCCGTTGCCGGGTGTATCTATCTCATGCATTTTGGCAAAAATTGGATTATCTAGATTTTGTATATACCTTAGAATAGGCTGTTCACAAACCATTTAATTTTTAAGAAATCTAAGCGGTTTTAAGACTTACAAATATATTTCTACCATCCAGATCATCTGTTAATTCAAAAGACAAATTTAAGACAGCATATGTTCTGTTAAACTTTTGAAAGCCAAAAAAAACATGTTTAACTAAACTTTTTTCGTAGTATTCCAATTGTACTCGTTCATATATTGGGTCATAATCATACTAAAATAAAACAATGTTTGGTTTAAAAATTAATAAATTTACTTACGTACTTCTTTACAAAAGAAACCAGAAAAATATGTAAACAATATAAGCAAATGCAATGTAAACATTTTATTGTTTTTAGATTAAATGAGATTTATAATGCATAGACATGGTATATAAAATAATATTTGAAAGGAAATTATTTTATAATTTGATGCCAGGCTCGACATTTGTTATCTTTAATCAAATAATTCAATAAAAACAACCTGCAGTTAGGTTTTAAATTTGTTTGATGATTAGTTTATTAAAATTGTATCAGTTTATTTTTTATAACTAAAGAACGAATTATAAATGTAAATGCATATTTGCATAGGCATTGGCATATTCTGGCTATTCTTACAGTTCTTAGCATATTTTACTGATAACCTGCTGATTGGGCATATTTCAGCTATTTTTACGATACATTTTTAGTTGTTTTGGGCACCCAGAAGAAAAACAAGTATTTTGGTACGCGAGGCAAAATCATCCTAGTTTGTTCCCATCTTTCCCTACAATAATCTTCATGTCAAATTAAAAGTTTAATTATTGGCGCGGGTAAAGTTATTGGACAATTTTAACTAATAAAATTTGTTACGTTGGCTAACTGTTCTCAGTCGGGTGTAAGGAAAAAGTAAGGCTAACTTTGGGCGCCATACAATAAATAATCTATATTAAGTCTATGTTTCACCCCACTTTATCCAATTTTAACTTTAACAAGCCAACTTTAATCCGTGGGCGAAATGATATTTGGCCCACTAGTGTAAAAAGTAAAATTTCGCCAACCGGTTAAAGTTAAGAAATGAAATGGGTATTGAATAAATAATATAAATTGGGCGCAATACTAAAATAAACCTTTAAAACATAATATAATTATTTACAAATTATTTATAAAAACATAACATTATTATTTATTATTTCGTACTATCCTAGAGCTTTGCTTCAATACATCTGAAAAGTAAGGAGAAAACAAACCTCCTACATTGACAAAGCCTTAATAGTTCCAAAAATTGCTTATTTTTCCCAACGCAAAATGTTTTACTAGTCCCCTAAGTAAAATGTCGTATATATAGCCTATAGGCAAGTATACTTGCTCCCAAAGCAAAAAGAGTTTATTAGCTCACAAAGTAAAAACTGGCTCCCAAAGTAAAACTTACATATTGGAATACGTATTCATTAATTATTATTATATAAGTGATTTTTTTTTAAGTAATATGTATAATATACACAAAGCTGCAAGATCTCAGAAAACTTAAATCGTTTTTTTCATTTAAATCGTTTTAATGACTTAAGTCATTTGGTAATAAGTCATTTCTCTTAAACTGACTTAAGACTTAAAATTTAAGTAATTTTCAAAAGGATTTATAACTTAAATATTTTTTCAAAATAGAAAAAACTTAAGTCATTAATAAAAAGCTTAAATCAGTACATGCGATTTAAGTCAGATAAAAACGATTTAAGTCAAAAAAAGAATTAAGTTTTTATAAAAGTCGGTAAATTATTTAAGTAATTTAAAAAGAAGAAGTCTTTTTGAAAAAGATTTAAGTCTTTTTAGAAAATATTTAATTCAGATTTTTCATATATTTTTTTGTAAATTTTTAACAGTGGAATTTTCTTTTGAACTGCCAGGGGTTCACGCGGCAGCAGATCAAAAACTCCTTTAATTTCCTACCTACAATTGCTACCGCTAGCGAGTAAAAAAACTGCCGCGGTAAAGTTAGCTTTTCGGAACCGTTTGACGGCTACATTAAAAAGTGTCCTGTCTAAAATGAATGAAAAAAAAGTGGGGATTTATAATTTTGTTTGCCAACATTCGTCGTGTTATGCGTGCGTAGTTAGGTCTAATTTGTGATTATTAGTGCAAAGTGGAAACAAATGATTAACAGGTAATGACGAATAAATATTATAAAGACGTGTTTATATCATACAGGGTGTTTTGGTTTGTTTAAGTAAAAAAACGTGATTGTGCGTGAATAAAATTATTCAAACGTGATTGTGCGTGAACGTGAGTAGTCTTGAATTATTACAATGAGTGGTCGTAAATCGTGAACAATCGTGAATCGGGAGTAGTCGTGAGCAGTCGTGAGCAGTCGTAAGTCTTGAGCGGTCGTGAATCGAGAGTTTGGAACCTCCCATCATTACTCCCTTAAGGGAGGAATATTTTTTTTCTAGATGGATGTTGAACCAGCTAACAAAAGTTAACAAAACAACAGCGATTTTAAGAAAAATGCTTCAACTCTTATTTATTTTAACAGAGTTTGAATCTATTACCGTTTAGAAGTAACCCATTTATGTATATATAAAAAAAGAAGCCTCCCTGTATGTCTACTCTATTAAAAAATGTGTTTTAAGTTTTTATTTTTTTTGTAAGTGAAAATAAATCGTTTTAAATTCTTAACATAGTGGTTTATTATTATCTGTATCTACAATAGATTAATAATATCAGTATCATTAATACCATAAAATTATTATTAACATTTAAAAAATCGTTGTATTGACTTAAGGGTAATTATTTTGATTTAAATCACAATTTTTGATTCAAGTCATTTTATTGACTTAACTCTTAGATCACGATTTAAATAAAAAATATTGACTTAAGTCATAAAAACGACTTACTAAAGGAATTAAGTCATAATATGACTTAAATCACTTTATATTGATTTAAGAATTTGCGAAAATGACTTCACTTAAAAGAAAATTATTTAATTCAAAGACTTAATACTTAAATCATTTGAACTTTATCTTGGAATTGACTTAAGATTTAAATCATTTTGATTTTAGAATTGACTTAAGACTTAAGATTTAAGCCTTTTTAAAACTGACTTGTTGGAGCTCTGAATATACATTGTATATACTCAAATAATAATAAAATGTTGTATTCCCATTTTTTTTAAGTGAACGCATAACGCCTACTGTTGTGAATTAAAATGAAGTGTTAAAAAACTGAACCGAACATAACCTCAAGGCGACAAGTTTGTTTTATGTTTTTGTTAAAATACAATTGTGGTTTGTTTTGCGTTGGGTCGTAGAAGTTATATATGTTACAATGACGAAGCCTGAAATAACCTTTCACAGTTCACTTTTTTTGTCTAAGGTTATATTATAATATAAATATATATATTTATATCAACTTTAAAATTACCTTATTTTCCATATTATTTAGCAATTCAAAATAAAATAACTTTTTTTTATATTTATATAGAAAACCACATTTTATATATTAAATATATATATTATATTATTATATATTAGGGTGTTTCAAAAAAATCGACTTTTTCTTTTTCTTCAAATGGTCAGCAAATTCTTTCAGAGGATGTCAAAACAAAGACCTCGTTAAAATTTGAGCTTTTAATTTGAAGATTTAGAGGTCGCGGATCGCAATTTTCTATTTCCCATTTAAATAACATAGGAATTTTTTTTTTAACTTTGGAATTTTATACTTCTATATCGAATAAACTTATGGCAAGGAACATCTTAGATTTTTATAGTAAATTTAACGCTCTATAAAAAATGTCTCTTATAATTTTTCTATAAATTGATTTCTTCCAGAGTTATTCGAGGCCAAAGTTTGATTTCCATCGAATTTTCTCGTTTTTTCAACTTTTAGCATCATATAGTAAAAAAATCACATATTTATATCTGAAACATAGGAAGTGTTGTAAAAAAAAACAAGAAAACAAAAAAACGTCACTTTTTTCCAAAGCCTACTACAAAGTTTTAATAAAAATATGAGATGTGTATAATATGCAGAGTAATTTATTTATAAATGCATTTTTCTCGAAAATGGTGCATCTGAGCAATTCAAATCAAGAGTACCTATTTTTCGTACAAAACTGTAAATTCTCATAATTTCATAAAAAAAATTAAATTATTAACCCAGAAAAAAGTTGGGGCTATTTTTGTAACTTTGCCCCCTCCAAATGTTACGCCTATGATTAAATTTTAACAGTTTTGATCATAGATCTAGATTCAGCATGTCAAAATTACCAAAGTACCAAAAATTCATTTGTTCATGTTCAACCCTCTAGAAATAGTTTTAAAAAAAATTATCCTCTTAGGCTCCTATTCAGGGGGCCGTAGCTCCTTTAGGGAACATTTTTTGATACATGTTTATTAAACAAAAAAAGTGTTATTTTTATACGAATAATGCACTGTTTAAGTTTGGCCCCCAGATTTCGGGACACGCGTATAATGATAATTGTACCATAAATGTTAAAAAAACGCGAAAATTCGATGGAAATCAAACTTTGGTCTCGAATAACTCTGGAAGGAATCAATTTATAGAAAAATGATAAGAGACCTTTTTTGTAGAGCGTTAAATTTACTATGAAAATCTAAGATGATCCTTGACATAAGTTAATTTGTTTCAGACGTATAAAATTTCAAAGTTAAAAAAAAAAAATTTCCATGTTATTTAAATGGGAAATAGAAAATTGCGATCCGCGACCTCTAAATCTTCAAATTAAAAGCTCAAATTTTGACGAGGTCTTTATGTTGACATCCTCTGAAAGAATTTGCCGACCATTTGAAGAAAAACAAAAAGTCGATTTTTTTGAAACACCCTAACATATATATATATATATATAAATAAATAAATAAATAAATTGTCCTTGATTTTGTATAATAAATTTGGTTAAGTTTAAAGTAATAATGCTTATTATGGGAAGATGATTGTAGCATTTTAAAAGTGAATAATTGAAATTTTATTATGGCAACCTGTAAAGTTAAAAAAATAGAGATACATGCTCAGTGTCTGTGGCCATTTAATATAATGTGTTTTATGCCTTTTACGTTTTACTCGCGACCGTAAAAAACGGATACTTGTTTAGAATTAATTTACAATTGAAGAACAACTTTTTTATTGCATTATTTTAGTTTACCTTAATGATTTAAAATCCTATTTAGGTTAGCACCCAATTAAGAGAGCCGAGTCGTAAATGTTGCAGTTTTGGATAAACAATATCAAGGAACGTTAATTTATTGAAGAATTCACTTCTTGCACTCGAGTTTTAATAAGGCTCATTAGCCTGTGGTGTCAAAGCTTAACAAGGAAAATGGTTATTCAAACTATATCGACGATTCACTTTTTTATATCGTGTTAAATTCTCACCAACCTGGACATAATTAGACAACCATTAAAAATGCAGCTCAATAAATGATGCCGTTAATTTGATCCTATTAACATTTAAATTTTTACACCACACCTTCATTTAATATAAAAACATTTTTAATTTACATACTAAAAAAAATATAGGTAGGTATTCAGCAAATTAATTATATTTAAATTGTTTTAAATTAAATGTTTTAATGACACGGGTTTACAAAATTTGTAATATTGGTCATTTTTTAGAAGCACAAAAGTTTATTTCGCTGCTTAATTATTATACTGTGTGTTCCAAAATTGTGCCATACACTAAAAAAAATAAGCTGTTGAAACAACAACAAAAATATTAATTCAACTCTTTATGCACTTCAAATACAAGCAATGGTTTTTGCACGTTTACTTAACCATCTAAAAATGTCAAATTGTATTGTTTAATTGAACAACAAATAACAGTCAAATGAACAAAATGAGAATATTTGTTCTAATCTGCTAATTTGGTTAATATAACATTCTTAGGGTGTTAAGGTAAATTTCTTGAAATGTCGAGGTAACCTTTTTAGCATATTCACTTAACACCAATAAAATGTTAAATTAAAATAATTTGCGCTAATGTTCCAAAACGGTTGGGTTAACATTCTGAAAATGTAAAAGTAAAATTCTATATAAAGAGAAAGAATTGAACCCTCACCTCGCCAGAGTTTTTGTTTTGAGTGCGTTCCACCTACTATAAATACCGACAGACAGCTGTTTCGACCTATATTGAAGGTTTTATCAGTGTCGGGCAATGTGATTTAGTGGAAGTTCCACTGTGGAACACACCCAAAACAAACGGCTACCTGAGCTTATATACCTTATATCGTAAGCCAACTGTGGCGAGATGTAAGAACACCTGATCAACACCGTCTAATGACGTGGCGTGGGTGTTCGAAGCGCCCTTCACGGCAATTTTATGAATGCAAATTTAACATTTTAAAGTAACATTTACAATTTGTTAAATGAACAAATTTAAGGTTTTGGTTTAAAGAAAAACTAAACGTTAATTTAATAGTTTTTTTTTAGGTAATCCTAAAAATTTCAGTATTTGATTCAACCAATTCCAGCTTTCAAATCAAAATAGGATAAACATTTTAATTCAAAAAATTAGTTTATGTTAAATCAATATTTTAACTGTCAATTGAACAAATAAACTTTGACAAACTCTGACTATTGCTTTGATACCAAAATATAGATTAATCCAATAGGTTTTTTGATGAAACAACATTTTCAAAAATGACATTCAGGTATACGTTAACTTAACTACATTATTTTTTTCGGTGTGCAAGTGACAAGCAAGGAAAGTGAAAAATTACCTAGGTTTTTGGAATTATGTTGAGTGATATCTTTTATACTTTAAACTGGGCCAAAACAATACACACCCGCCGCGCCGTGTTCCAATGAACTTTATATTTGATTTTTTGGAATTGGAAAAATTGAAGATTTTTTAAATCATTTAGGTATCCTACTCCAACAAATAGATAATTTAATGATTTTCAAGAATAAATAAACAAATGGTTAACCTCACTTTTTGCCAATATTAAATGTTATTGTATACTATACTACAGTCGCCTTCTCCCAATTTAAAAATTATCATTTTTCCCGTTGTTAGGCAGGGAATTTATAATGTTTATCATTATTCACGAAAATAACCCAATATTATGCAATAGGAGTAGATAGAACTACATTATCTAACAGGCGGAGTTAATATGCTTTCGCCGCTCACTGCGGTACGTTGAAAATATGTTTAACCTTAAAGTGCTAGAAATTTTTTTTTCATTTTATGTTTCTAGGATTAAAAAATAATTAAAATAGGTCATAGGTCATCCCTTCGAGGAAATTTGATTTTAAAAAAATTACCCTATAGGCGTCTAAAAATTGTAGTACATTTTATTGCGGTAAAGCAAATTTAAAAAAGGTACCTAAAATCATAATAATTCAAAAAAAAAATTTATATACAAGTTAATTTATCCTTACTCCTCAAAAGTATATCCAAGTA